CACACACACACTGTAAATATATCACTGTTCTTGCTTTAATTTTTCTTCAATTTCTTTATTTTTTATGTTTTTGAAGGCTTTGAATTCTGGTTGGTATTTTTAACTGTTTTTCACAATTTAAGGAGAGAAAAAATGTTTTTTTTTTTTATTTCCTGTTCTTTTGCAGAAACTCAAGATGAGAATCGCCTTGTCTCTCGTCTTTGTTCTGCTAGCCTCTCAGAGATCCTCCTCCAGTGGACCATCGTGTCTTTGCCATGGAGACACTTCCTGTAACTGATCCATACTAAATCTCAGGAAAGTCCTTGCAGTCCCATCAGAGCTCATCTCTGAATTTGATCTGACCTACAACAGGCTGGAGAACATAGGGGAAGATGACTTCCTTACATTTTTTTTTTTTAGTTTGAGGTCTTTGCTCACGGATAACAACAGAATTAAAACAATCCACAGAAAACTTTTATCACTCTGATTCATTTGGAGAAACTGGACCTTTCAGAAAACCAACTTGACACTCTGTATCCTGAATGGTTCAAKAACCTGTCCTCTCTGCAGTATTTGAGTCTTTTAGGAAACAGATACACAACATTGGATCAAGGTTATCTACTCCAAMCACTGAAGAGCCTTTATATTGGAGGAACTTTCCTTCAGTCTGTCAGAAGGAATGATTTCTTTGGCCTTTTTGGTCTTGAAGAGCTGGTTTTTGATGGAAAGAATTTACTTTTTTATGCTAATGGCAGCTTGAGTCAAATCAGTTACATTAGCCATGTAACACTCAGTCTAAATGGTTTGTTTGACAGAAATCAAACACTCACACATACTGACTGATGTTGTGCATCCAAACACAACTCTAATAATCGCTGACACTGATTTTTACACAGACTATGAAATGTTGCCGCTTAAAGCAGTGTTRGCCATTGGTGTCCCAAGTATCACTTTTAAAAACGTCAACATGTCCTTTTTGGCTTCTATGATGCTCCTAACTTTGACGTCAGACTGTAAAATAACCATGTKAGCTTTTGAAGATGTACATTTCTTCCTAGATTCTAAAGGTTACTTCGTACTTCCCAAAAATATAAGCAGCTTGGATAGTCAGTATTGCCAATCTCCACATTTTCGAAGCTCTCAACTTGGAGTATTTGCTGCACATTGTGTGAAATGTGACCATCACAAGCTCCAACTTATTGGTCATTCTTTGTGAAATCTCTRCCAAACTTGCAAACGTGGAGTTTTTGGACCTTAGCGGCAACGTGTTAATGGATTTTTCTCTAAACCAATTGATGTGTGACGGCCATCCTCAGAGTCTGAAGACCATCAACGTCAGAAGAAATGACCTRCAGTCAGTCAACAGCTGTTCAGGCAACTCAAACAGCTCAGGCATCTTGATCTGAGTGGAAACTTGTTGCAGATAATGCCGGAGTCATGCAAGTGGCCAGAAAGTCTCCACTTSCTGAACCTGTCATCGAATCATCTGAGAAAGGTGACCAAATGTCTGCCGGTGAGTTTACCTCGATCTGTCCAGAAATTACCTCAAAGTGTTGAAGGTTCAACTACTCAGTCTCACCAAGTTATACATCTCTGGCAACAAGACTGGACATTTGCCTGATGGGTGTTTGCACCATTGTCTTGTTTTTCTCTCCATTGGCAACAACAGATTACAACGTTTCAGCCAAAATGAGTTAGATGCCTACAAGACCCTGTAGAGGCTGGTGGCAGCTCCTACTTCTGCTCGTGTGACTTCGTGGATTTCATGAATAAAGACTTAAAGAATCATCGAGTTGGAGTYAAAGACGAGCTGAAGTCTTACATCTGTGACCCTCCTCAAGCTGCGAAAGACTCGAGCGTTACAGACGTCAAGMCGTCAGTGTTGGAGTGCCACAAAACTTTGACTGTTTTGTTACTCTCCTCGGGAATCCTGGCTCTGCTTCTGCTCTCTGCAGGCCTGTGTGTTCAGTGCTGTTTGGTTCCTGAGGAGGACCTGCGCCCGGCTGAGAGCCGAGAGAAAGACCAAGTTAAAGAAGCCTTCAATGAAAAGGACTCTGTTCAGGYGGAGCTAAACCTGGTCCCTACCCTCGAGTAATCCCAACCACAGCTCTGACTTTGCCTCCCCAAGAAGGATTCTGTTCCTGGAGGACTATGGATGCTTCAGAGAAAAGCCACAAACTGCTCTTCCCTCTTCCTCAGCACAATCTGAAAGCAGTTGTTCAGTTATTAGGCTATTATTTTTTTAGAACAGTCGTTTCAGATCAAAGTTATTTAGAAGCTTTTTAAAGTTCTTTGTAAACTTAAAAACATAACTATTGTGAATTTACACCCTCTTTTTGGCCTTCACTTGTTCTTTTTTTAATCAGTTTTGTTTAAGGACACAAAAGAGATGATAGGATTTTGCCAGGACAAAAAAATCAGCTGAAGTTAAAATCTGAAACAAAATAAAAACATTTAAMGACCTTCAGAAGTTGAAGGATTATTGATTAGGACAGCTTTAAAACTGTACGAAAAAAAGAATCTTTTGCACAGTGCTGTATATAAAACCAAAAATTTACATTTAAGTACTACGCAAGTTAACTTAGCAAACATTTTCCATCTATAAACTTTAATTTGTTGAAATTAATACGACACAAAAGAGATACAGAATGAAAGCTTGTTTTGTGAGAGAAGACGAGAACCTCTGTGTGTGTGTGTGTATGTGTGTGTGTGTGTGTGTTCATGTGCTTGTGTGCCTAAAAACGTGTGTAATTCTTTGTCAGGCTCTCAAGAGGTGACATATTGCAGCTATTGATCTTTAGTCCTAAAATCAACGCAGAAACCTGGAAACTGATGACAGGCAGGGGCAGACGAGTCAGGATGTCCTGATAACACACACACACACACACACACACACACACACACACACACACACACACACACACACACACACACACACACACACATGCTCAACAAATTATAAAATTACGGATTATGGTAAAAAGTTCATTTTCTTTTGTGCAAACCTGAATCAGTAATACCTAAAACAATAATCTCATCTTGTGTATGAAGAAGCTTTGTTCTAACTCCACGCCCACAGAACCCCACTTCAAAATATCTAAATAATGTTTTTACATGTTCATTACAAAGATATAAAAAAAAGCAAATATATATTTGTTATTGAGACACATTTGAAACCAGATTAGATCTTCAGTAAGTCGTTTGTTTGTTGACTCTAAATGTGAAATTAACTAAATAAAAAAGTTTTCTGACAAATGTTGGGTAATTCGTTGGGTTTCTCTTAGAAGGCRTGGCAGTTTTTAAAACAAATTTGTAAAAATGCCTTCATTCTTGAGGAATAATTACAGGCAGAATCATTACAAATATATTATCAAAATAGTCCAGTGTTCCTAAGATTGTGTTAAAAACTGACTGAAGTCTATTTTGGTGAAACCTTGAAAGTAAAATTTGTGAAGATCTGCTGCTTGTTTTGTGAACGACTCACAGCTGCTACAACACCACATTTGAGCTCTGTAGCTGTAAAATCTGCTGTGATGTAGCTGCTCTTTTGTGTAGTTTAATGTCAAKTAACAGAGGCAGCTATCTTGAATTGGGTCGACTCTGAAAGTTAACCAGTTGTAGACATGAAGGTAAAAGTTACTTGTTGAGGGTTTTATTAAAATCTGTCTTGTCTGAGCCCAAGTTACAAAGAATAATTTGTTAGTGGAGTGTTGTGTTGCTATATTCATTTAAAAGTTTGTATGTGGGGGAATTATTAGCTTACACAATAACATTATTATCACAGAGATGGGTTATCACAAGTCTCAATATTTCAAATAAATCTAAAGGAACCCAATCTACTGGAAACATGTTTATATCTGAAAGTAAACAATAGTTTCTACTAATTACTGAGCAACGAACGTCTGGTCCATCAGTGGATTTGTCTTTTCTGCCGTGTATCAGGTGAGTTTTTCAAGTAGTTTTTTAATAGTAAATAATCATTATTGTTTCTTATTATTACAAATGTTCTTTTTCTATGTTTTTATTTTAAAAAGTGTGCATTAGCTAAACAGAGAAGTTTTGTATACTTTACAGAAGAATATTTTAGATGCCGTGCATTGGTCTGTGAAATTTGATCACAAATTCAGACGGTACCACAGCCGAACCCATCAACCACAGCCAGCTGACTGACGCCGTCAGTCTCATAGAGGTGCTCCAAAACTTACTGGTTGAACTTTTTAACATCGGTCGGCTCGACCTTTCCTTCAACAAAATACAGATTTTCATTGAATGAATATTTGTTTTATTAGTTCATGTTCTCTCTTATTTAACCTATAAAGTATTGCATTTAGGATTTTCTACCCTTTTACCACAGTGGCAGTATAAGTTTGTGTTTAGGGTTCTGTTTTATATTTAATCTTAACATAATTACAATCTAGTAAACGCTGGTGGGCCCCACTTTAGGCACCTCTGATTTACACACCATCGCTCTGCATGGAAATCCCATTGAGAGCAGTGATGGCTACWGGAGACAAGATAATTTAGTTAAAGTTTTGGCATTTTTTTGTTGGAACTTTTTTAACAAGACATTTGCCATGAACCCAGAAGAATAAAATATCTTAAAAACAATTAATAAGTGCCCAAAGTAAATTCAATATACTGAGGCAACATGTCACTGAATCATCATGAATAATAGCTAAGGTAACGTGTTTTTCCGTTAAGGAACTACGTGATTTTCGTCTTGCCTCACCTGAAGTCGATGGGCTTCAGCACTGTGACCCTGCGGGTAAATAATAATAAACTCCCCAAACCTGGCACAAGAGTGACCTATCGGTCAACAAATAAAATCATTTAATTAAATACTTTGACATTTTTTACAAATTAGATATTCATTGTGATCATTTGAAGTTAAATTACCTGCTGTCACCTCAGGGTGAAAACAATTACATTCACTCTACCCAGGAGGCACATTTTATATGATAGAATTTTATATTTTTTACAATAACAAGCCGTAATGAAAACAAACAAAAATTAAATAAAAGTAATGACTTTCTACTTCTTGTCTTTTTTTAATGTAAGGAGTCGAAAGTAAAAAAAAGTAGGCTGAAAAATAATTACTCAAGTACATATAACAAAGTATTTGAGTTTAGTTACTTAAAAATGCTGGTTCCTAATAATTAAATTCAGACCATGAYGTTTTAGGAAGCATGTCTGATCGACACACTACGTCTATGTCACTATGTCCGCCCAGCCCCCGCTTTAGAAGTCAAAACAGCATGTGATTTGATTTCACGCTCTTTTTATCCTTTAACCACCCTGATAACAGGGATGGGGAAGAAGCAATGATGTGTGTGTAAGCGTGTGTGTAACGACTCTTCACCATCACTTAGCARAGGATCCATTAGGCTCGGGGCCCCCTCCCGCGTTGCCCGGTGATAAAATAAACACAGTGTGTTTGAGCAATTCGGCAAGCAAATATTTGATTTAGGAAGCTGCCTCATCCGACATGATACGCACGTCTGCAGCCACGTGCTGAGGTGTATATAAACGCTGACGGACCTGCTGGACTACTGTTACACATGAGCACACAAAGACCTGGAGCCAGACCAGACAGCTGAAACAAGGTAAAATAACTTTTTAGTTCCAACCTACTTTACTCTTCCTGATTCTGACTTTTTYCTCTTCTGCTGTCTTCAGAGTTTCTAACCATGACTACGGGCGTGATCAGGAACTTCCTCCTCCAGGCCCCAAACCCAACCTGTGTCCCCACGCYCTTACAGCACTCGTCCAGAGAAGGCGAGGAAGAGACTCTAGAAGGGAGAGAAGATGAAGGTGAAAGAGAAGAGGAGGATGAAGAGGAGGATGAGGAATGTGGGGCTCAGGAGGACGAGGAAGAAAGTTTCGATCTGCTCCTCCCCAGCCACGGTGTTCTGGACGTGACCAGTCAGCTGCTCCGGTTTGCCGACCTCATCAGCCGGGACGTCCGGCGGTATTTCGGTCGCTGCTCTGACGACCGGGAGAGTTGCGACGTCTACGGCGGGTCGGCGTCCCCGACGACGAGCGGCCGCCTGCGTTACTAYGACGACCTGCTGAGAATCGCAAGAGCAGGAAGTCCGGCGGAGCGAGGAGGCGGTGCTGGGGCTGATGCCGGTGAGCCAGGAGTCACTGGTGGTAAGGAYGGCGGTGGTCTGGGGCCCCTGGCCGAGCTGTTCAACCACAGGGGCCCGRGTCAGGGCCGAGGCCAGCCGATGGTCAGGAGGCACCTCCCGCTCAGCTTCTGGACTGAGCCGGTCCCACGCTGCTGTCTGRATGGTCTCAGCAACACACCTAACGTCACACACAGCAACGCACTCGCTCAAGAGCACGGACACACACACTACAACCCCCTCGACTGCACGGAGCCAGACTTCAGCGACCTGCTGGCATACTGGGATCCACACCTGGAGTTCACACACACACTTACTGAGGACACACACACGGTGCTGAACACGAACTGAGACACCGCATTCATGTTCGGAAACACAAAACCCTCAATAAAGAGAAAAACAGGATCAAATGAATGTATTTTCTTCTGTCTGTGATTAAGAGCTTTGATAAACGGTATTTTAATAAAAAAAAATCTAAATAAATGAGGGAAATTTATAAAAAAACAGTGAACTTTCTGTTTTGTCAGACTGGAAGATCTCACCCTACACCCTACAACTTCTTCCAGTTCTGCAGAAGACAGGTGACCACCCATTTGTTCAAATCAGGTGCTGAATCAGACAAACAAGTCAAACWTGCAGAACCAGGACTGACCACCCCTGCCTAAAGCAATGACCGGTCAGTTCTACAAATACCTGAAAGYCAAAGAAGATTGCATGATAAAAAGTTAATTAGTTATTTTGGGGAAAGTAGTGCTGTTTAAAATCATTTGGTTGTTTAAAAAAAAATGTACTGAGAAATTTGAAACCTTATAAGATGGTAAATAAGGTCTGGCTCAGARAAACAACCTCTGAACATTATCATGTGTTCTGCAGTGTGTTCAATGTGTGCTCCTTCTTGAAACAATAAAAGTGCTCCTRACAGTCACTACACATCAAGGAAGTTCCCTCTTGTTAAAAGGGGGTCATTCCTTCCCACTGTCGCCCCACACCTCATGCTTACTCTGGCTGGTAGAATGCACACAAATAGATATTGAATTGTGTTTACTTTTTTATTTAGAAAGGCAACTTTTTACACTTTGTCGTTTTGTAATGTACTGAATTCAACTGTGTTGTAACTGAACTTGAGTCTGTTTTGAATTCAAATAAATTGCATGTATTTTAATTCTGACTTTTGTTTTGACTTTTTCTATGTAAATAAACCAAAACGAGCTTAGATGATCGATCTAGGATTAGACTGGGAATAAATTTGAAAAGAAAAAAAAAATCAGTTCAGGAGGTAGATAAAACAAAATATTCTAATGCTCAGATCTACATTGTATTTTTGTCTTACCATCATATAAGGTATCATGTAATTGCCTACCTCTCTGTGCATGTGTGTGTGTTAGTAAAATATGTTAAAAGCCACAAGATATAATCAAATACAGGTTGTGGGGTCAGCACCAACACACCCTTCCAGGAAGGCTTTCACTAGATGTGCATGTTTTATTAGTTTCAAGCATCAACAGTCATTTCCTAAGTCTTGTATTTACAGTAGTTTAAATGAACTACGAGCCATCACTGGGACTGTTTTTATGGAAACGAAGGTTTGATAAGAACCAGAAAGAAAGATGATACCTTTAAGTGCTTACACGGGTCACCATTTGTTTAACAAAGGGATCCATTTCAAATTCACAAACTGAACAAACAAGAAAAACTATTTTGTGATAAGTTCTGAGGTGATCACAAGATGTCTACACACTTGCATGGCACCAGACCATTGGCCCATGCGGAACCAAGAAGTGTCCTCCTGCAGGGGTCACGTCTGATTGGACGAGAGAGAAAGCCAGTAACATTGTGACACACACTCCCCGTCGTAGATAAATAATGGTACAGACTTTTCTGTGACTCACAGCACTGAAGGACCTTTTCTCTTGCCTCTCACCTGAGCAGAGGGGTGACAGAGCGGCTCACACACAGACACCGACATGAGGATCCACAGGTTCGTTTTGTCCATAAGCCTGCTGGGCCTGCTGCTGTGGGCCTCCTGCGTCCAGGCAGAGGGGTCCGAGGACAGCCCAGAGACACAAGAGGACGCGTCACAGGAGACAACAGAGAGGGAGGCAGATGAAGCCAAAGAGGAGCCAAAGAAGGAGAAAACAACAGAGATAGAGGAAGAAGGAGACGTCATGATTCTCCACATAAACAACTTTGACAGAGCTCTGAGCGAGAACAAGTTTCTGCTGGTTGAATTCTGTAAGTATGATTAAAATACTCTGAATTAAACAAACTCTCTTGCTGGTCTCTTTGAACCCTTCCTCTGCTTTTTGTTTAATCTGTGTTAACAACACATGCAGCTGTTCAGAACATATCTAAAAAGTTTTAAAATGTCCCAAGCATGTGATCATCAGTGGTCTGGTTCTCTGTGACCCAGAGGAAACAACTTGATATGAAAATATGCTCATGTGAAGATAAAGTCAGGTCAGAAGTGTAATCTTGTGTCCTTGTTTTCCTGCAGAGATAACCAGAAACATTCTAACATTATGATGATCTGTCTACAGAGGAAAAAAAACTTTCTTTATGATTGTTCAAATAAATCTCAACAACTGTTAGTTTTAAATTTCTTATTTTAGCAGTATGGTAAAATTTTCTCAAAATAAAGTTTCTTTTAAAGGTAATGCAGRCAAAGGAAGATAAATGTGTATCTAAACATGATAAATATCATACTTTAGGGGGAAAAAAAGGAACTTATCTGAAAAGAATGCAAATATTCTGGTGCAGGGATRTCTGACCTCGACCTTCTGAGTTATCCTTTTTTTGTACCTTTTTAAAGACTGACACTTGTTTTTTTCTAACAAAAGTGTTCGTTAAAAGTTCGCACACGTGGCACGTCCGATCCAGATGTTGTCCCGGTCCAACTCTCCCACRCATGCAAAAAGAGACGAAGGCTGAGCTCAACCGTCACTCCTGTTATCAGCAGCTGATTTCCATGCAGAGCTACTGATAGTGGCAGAACAGAGGCCTGCTTTAAGTTTAAACCTCACTAACACGTTTCAGGAGGACCAAACACTTGTGTTTTTGTGTACAGATGCTCCCTGGTGTGGCCACTGCAAACAACTGGAGCCCATTTAYGCCGAGGCGGCGGGGAAGCTGAAGGAAGACGAGCAGGACATGCGTTTRGCCAAGGTGGACGCCATTGAGGAGCAGAAGCTGTCTGAAGAGTTCGAGGTTGCCGGCTTTCCCACTCTCAAACTGTTCATCCATGGAGACCGTGAAAAGCCCGTCGACTACTCGGGTAAACACATATAAACACATCATTTACTGTAATCTGAACTGTCAGTGGGTGTTCACTTGTCTTGATATCTTTGATACCCAAGTAAAAAAGTACCTGAACAATGTGGTAATATAGTTTGGGTTATAGACATTTTATTAGTCCCAATTGGATGTGGCAGCCATGTTGAATGAGGCTGTCACTAATTATAATATTTCTGCTAACTCATAATAAAGTTTGTCCATCTCCATATGGATAACGTGACACTAAACACAACACAAAGTTAGTCATAACATCAGTCAACAAACTCTGAGTGACAGAAATGGTTACTAGATCTGGTCCTTTTTGAATTGGTGTAAAATACCTCAWATGTAACCAATGTTMCTGTAAAATTTTATAGATTCGTTAYAAGATTTTACAGACTAGAGTTATTTATTCCACGTTGCTCTTGGTTCAGTCCGTTGARTTAAAATTAAACTTATTTTTTCAAACTGAGATTATTCAAAGAACTATCTACAACAGGTAGGATGGTAATTGTTCGGAACTTTTCCACCGAACCTCACTTTAAAAGATCTGAATTATTCTTTTTAGTGATAAAGTCAATCATCCACTGACATCCTCTACTGTTCACCTCAGCTGATTTGTCTGAATTAATATGTTTTATTTGTATTTTTGCCACATGGACAGAAAGTATCTGAGCTGTCTGATATCTTCCAGGGACGAGATCAGTAGAGGGAATAATCCAGTGGTTGAAACGCCGCAGTGGCCCCGGAGCTGCACATCTGGATTCTGTAGACTCTGCAGAGCAGTTCATCAGCTCTCATAACATCTCTGTTGTTGGGTTTTTCGACGTAGGTTTTTTTTCCCCTCAATTCCTGTGTTCAACAGTGCTGTGACATGATGTGACATCAGTGCTTTTCAATGACTTGGTTTTATTATTCTTGATTTTTTTTCTTAGAGTTTGGAAAGCGAGGAAGCCGAGCTGCTGAAAGAAGTCTCTTTTGAGTTGACTAACATTGAGTTTGCAATGACAGCAGCCCAGGAGGTTTTCCAGAAGTATGAGGTGAAAACCAGCTCCGTGGTGCTTTTCAAAAAGGTAAGAGTGAACATGATGCAACATGAAAAACAGCTTCACTTTGCTGCCATCTAATGCTCAGAWATAAATTCTCTTTTGTCTAAAGTTCAGAGGTCTGCTGTAAACATTTATTTCTCAGTTCTTTGATGATAAATATTTCATGCATTTCTACAAATCAGTTAATACATTTGTTGCTTAGGTGATAAAATTTGAGGAACAAAATGCTTAAAGTGCTGCAAAATGCCAAACAAACTGTTAGTTATAAACAAAGATGGTCAATTTTATCATTAAATACAGAGAATATTTGTTTCTGCACTAGTAAATCATAACATATTAGTCCCTTGTGTTTGACATGACCTTATATTTACCATGAGCCAGGGGTCTGCAACCTGCGGCTCTGGGGCCACATGTGGCTCTTTGGTCCCCCTGCAGTGGCTCTTTGAAAATTTGACCAAACATAACAGATTTTTTTTGTTTGTTTTAAATAATCCAACTTCTTTCTCTGATTTTTCTCTCAAATCTATCAGGGTTATCTTTAAACACCTTTAGGACTGCAGAATAATAAGAATCAGGGAAAAAAAAGGTCTGACTAATTCAGCTGTATTAGTTTTTATGAAATTCTGTATGTTTCTTGTATCAAATGTTTTTTTTCTTCAGTCCTGAAGTGTAAAAATAATAAATAATAAAATTCATAACATATTTTTTAGATTTATGTCACCTCCACTGGCCATAAAGGTTCACGAAAAGGCCTTGAAAAGACCCACGAACCACCAGTTGACAATCACAGTTGTAGCTTATTTTGTGGCTCTGGACACATTTTATTAGTGAGCCGAGGAGCAGAAATGGCTCTTTTGATTGTAAAGGTTGCAGACCCCTGCCATAAGCCATCAACACAAAGACACATGATGACTGAATAATGAAAAACAAAGAGGGGTAAAACAATAAAAAATAACAAGGTTTTGGCAAAAATGCTTCAGGTATTTCCTCACACTTTTTGTCTTTTAAGTTTTGGATACATATTTGTATATTGTTCATGAAAACTGACCTTATTTTAAGGAAACAGTTTTATAGATATTATTGTTGTATTGATATTTGACCAAACAGCAGAAGATTAAAAATGAGCGTCTGCTAAAAATGACMAGATGTTTATTCCCTGTTAGCTGACTATTTAGTCATCTTAAACAATTTTTCATCTCAAATAGATTAGTGAGTTGTGTATGTGTGTGTTTGCCAGTTTGACGACGGCAGAGCAGACTTCGTGTGGTCAGAGGAAGAGAAGCTTGACAAGAACAAGCTGACTGCCTTCATCAACGATAACAGCCTGGAGCTCGTCATCTCATTCAGCCAGGAGGTGAAGCACGAGGGCCCACGTTTGATGAGAAAATATCTAAACAAAACATCAGGTTTGACTGAATTCATTTTGTGTTTTCAGACAGCCGACAAGATCTTCTCCTCTCGGATTCGCCTGCACAGCCTGCTGTTCATCAACTCTACGGTGAAAAGTCACATGGACATGGTGGAAGAATACAGGACACTTGCCAAAGAGTTCAGAGGAAAGGTAATGACCTGTTTTGTGTGTGTGTGTGTGTGTGTGTGTGTGTGTGTGTGTGTGTGNGTGTGTGTGTGTGTGTGTGTGTGTGTGTGTGTGTGTGTGTGTGTGTGTGTTGTTTTAAACATGCTCAGGAGGCAAAAATCTTTTTGCACTATGTTAGCAACGTTTTTAAAGTAAGAAATGTTGTTACTCTGTACTTTACCCTGTAAGTACTCCATAATTATTACCCTATTTTTTTTTTTTACCTTGTATGTTACATCATAAGTGTACATTGTGTGTTACCCATAAATACCAGGCTGTATTATATAAYGCTACTAACATTTTATTGTTTAAATGGAAGAAATAGTCACGTTTTTTTTGAATCGGGGTTTGTGGACTARTTATGAACAAATAATATCTTACCTGTTGTAGATAGCTCTTTAATCAACAACAGTTTGGGGGAATAGTTTAATTTTGTTGAGATTAACAAGTTAAGGACTAGTTCGAGCAAAGTTAAAACCCAAGTGGAGTGTTGATATTCTAAAACAAATCTTAAAAATATTGTTAATCCAAATGCATTTTATTTTTACTTTTATGTTGTCAATAATTTTGCATTACATGGTCATTCTGACAGGAGTGTGATTTCAACAGAAGTACTCCAGTTTAGTCTGGAAGATGTTACCACATTTAGCACTTATGAATAACCATGTAAACAACCGTATATTGCAAAATTGGCAGGACAGTTTATAAAATAGAATTTGCATGAATTAATATAGTTGTTTTTGCGAGTCAAGTTGTTTTAGGATGACAAACATTCACGGTGATCTTGGWTTCACTTGGACAGTCAGTTAGCTCGTCAGTCCAGTGAGAATTAAATTATATTTGACTGAACTGTGAATCAGAAAGTTATATTCACCAGGTAAGATGGTAATTATTTACAATATTTTCACAAAACCCCACTTAAGAATCTCTGAAACATCACTTTAATGAAAATATTCTCTGAAGTGACGCCAAGTGAATTTGTTTCTGTGTTTAACAGATGATGTTCATCACTATTGATGTGACAGGAGCCTTGTCTCATGTGCTGAAATATTTTGGTGTGTCAGAAAGTGACAGCCCCACTGTTCGTATCATCAGTATGGAGACACAGAAGAAGTTCAGTATTCCCTCTGGGGATYTGACTGAGGATTCAATTCGGCAGCTGTGCCAAGGCGTTTTAGATGACACCGCCAAGGTATATCGCCCCCCACTTTTCACACTTTTCTAAAGTCACACACACAGAAGCATTAAACTACCAACTTGTCCTGGTTAATTCTGCAGCCTTACTATCTGTCTGAAGAGATCCCAGAGGACTGGGACAAAGGACCAGTAAAAGTCCTGGTGGGCAAGAATTTTGAGTCTGTCGCTCTGGACCCGACCAAAAACGTCTTTGTTGAGTTTTGTAAGTCGATCTGTATTTCAGTCCATCTACTCTGCAATTTACATTTGATAAAGTTTCCCTAAATGTGTTTAAGCAAATGCATTTTCATAAACAAGTAGCTGCCTCACAGCTAAAAGAGAACAAATGTCCAAAATACAAAGAGAGGCTGAAGTTTTGTGATCAAAAATTCAGATTTCTCTTCAACAAAGTCTAAAACTTTGACACAAGGTGTATGGAAACTTTAAAAAAGTAAAAAAAAAAAGACAATTAAAAATTAAATAAAATCTATAGCTAAAACCTATCAGGACAAAATAAAAAAAAAACTTTGAACAAAGTGGATAGTTTAGGAGAAATGCAGATCAAAACACAGAGCAAAGTGTAAACATCAAAGAATCACTGAGAAAATCCTGAGTGGAGGTGGAAAACTTCCTCAACCTTTTAGAAACTTTCCAACTATTTGAATATCACATGCATCAATTTATCATGTTTCTATACATTTGATAGAAGATATGACCAAAACATAAATAAATAAAAAATACCCTTCATTTCCAGTTTTGAAGACAACATTATAGCTGCAAATAAATGAGAGTTTTGCTGTGCATTCTGCACTTTGGGAGATTTAGGAGTAAAAAAAAAAATGAAGTCCTGTCTGTAAAGGCTGTGGCACAAACACAMACATGACCAGATCTAAACTGGAATGAAAAGGTTTGAATGAACCATGCAAATACTAGAAGTTTCCCTTTTTGTCTACACTTTATATGAGGTCATACTTTCAACAACAAACTTTAAAAAGGGCAAACCAGGGAGAGACAACAGCTCCGTACATCCTGGAACTGTACCATCATGTGCTGAACTGTGAACAGAGGACCAGGAAGTGGATGTTAGGTCCTTTCCCACATCCTCATAAACTCTCYGTAATCACATGTTTGATGACATGGGCTTGAATCTGTTCCACATGAAGAGGAGAACATGTTGATCCTGATGAAGAGTATTCCTGCAGATGAACTGTTAGAAGTTTATCTTTAGGATTCAGCAGACAAACTGAAACAGGCTGGCTACGGCAAGCCATTTTAACATAAAACTGACTTCACCACATTTACAWTCCAGATATCTGGAATTGATTTGTAGCTAGACAAATTAATTAATTTAAATATCTCTATATTTTGACACGTAAAAATGACAACAGATGTACCATGAAGTTGTATGGAGGCTCCAGTTCTAGGTACCTTAAAAGGAATTATGTCTAGTCAAAAACACAGTCCTAGTTATTTCTAWGTTAGTTTTGCCTAGACATTATTTGCTTTCAAGATATTTTGCTTTTTGTTCTGACTTACTTCCAATTCAAGATGTCTCAAATGGATTTTTAAATATCAGACATAAGATTTGACTAGTGCCAATTAAATTGCAGTTATCTTGAAAGAAAATACCATCTAGCCAAAACTAACTTGAAATTATCTAGAACTGTATTTTTGACAAGTCGTAATTACATTTGCGATATTGTGAAAGGCAGTTTGATCCGTCAAAATGTAATTGAAGATATCTTGAATTGTTTTTCTGACTAGTCAGAATGTAAATGCAGATATCTTAAAATTACCATTCAGGATATAAGGACTCTTTTTGCTCCGCAGATTAGGAAAGTGTATTGCAGTGAGAAACAGTACATAAACAATGACAAATATGTCTGTTTTTGTGTGTATGAACTGTAAAGTGTAAAAATTGTGCAAATAAAATATTTGTTTTCAAAAACTTGGCACCTTTTAAAAATAAAATTGTTACAGTTATTCCTGAAAGGTTTGAAGAGATATTTGCATCAATCCCAACATAAAGTTTTTATGTTGTGTCTTGTTTGCATGTTTTTGGTGCAGATTCTCCGTGGTGTGGATACTGCAAGGAACTGGCTCCAATCTGGGATCAGCTGGGAGAGAAGTATGCCGAGCATGAAAACATCATCATAGCCAAGATGGACGCCACAGCCAACGAAGTGGAGTCTGTTTCACTTAGCGGCTTTCCAACAATTCAGTACTTCCCAGCTGGTGACAAAGAGGTACACACACGCACACACATGCTCCATACAAATGAATTGCTTTTTTAAACAATCTGCATTTTTCTCTCAGGTGATCAACTACTCAGGAAAAAGAGATCTGGAGACGTTTTCTAAGTTCCTGGATAACGGAGGAGTTCTGCCACAGGAGGAGAGTGATAAAGATGAAGACGATCACGATGATGAGGAGGAAGTTCCTGATGCTGAAGAAGGAGACAAAACTGATCAGGTTTGCTTTTCGCCTTAAAGTTTTTACCCCCGTTTTTTCCCCAACTCAAGATTAAACTTTTTTTCTGTCTTTCAGGAGGCAGATGAGTCTTCAGAAGCATCTTCTAACAAAACATCCAAAGATGAGCTGTAACAACATGGTTCAGCCAGTTAAGATCAAGCTAACATCCTCCAGTTTTCTTAATAAAAGGTCACACAGGTTTAAAGTGGATGTGTCGTTGTGATTATTATGAACACTTTATCTGCAAGTTTGCCTTTACAAATGAGACTTTGAATTGTTTGACATACTTTTAGTTAAAAGACAGACTGGTTAGCTACAGAACAGTCATGGCGGGGTGTGTGGGGTGGGGATTGGGGAGGTGTGCTCCGTGATGAGGAAGCTCAGCTTAAAGACATGTCCCAGGGGTGTTTCTGGTACCAAAAGGCGTTTCTGGTCCCCACCTGTCATTTTGCTCCTCAGCATGGCTGCCTAAAAACACTGCAGGATTTCACAAACATGCATGAATGAGTCAAAGCAAGGCTTTGGGCATGTTTTTTTATGAGGGTATAACATTTTAACATGATACAAAACTCAAAAAAGTCACCATTTTTCTCAGTAAATATATTACTAGAGGTACTAATGACATGAAATTTTCACCAGATGTCGGTAACAACCTAAGTGATCCATACATACAAAGAAATCAAACCATAAATGTCCAGAAATKAAGTTATTTGTAATAATGTGGAATGGCACAGGGAAAAAGTATTGAACACATGAARAAAGGGAGGTGTAAAAAGGCATGGAAAGCCAAGACACCAGCTGAATCAGTAATTAGAAAGCAAGCCTGCCCCTTGTCAGTGCAAGTTAATATCAGCTGGTTCAGTCCCAAATGATGGCCAGGTATCACACAAGAACCATCTGATGATGGGTAAAAGTAAAGAGCTCTCTCAAGACCTTCACAACCTTATTGTTGCAAAGCATAATGATGGCATCGGTTACAGAAGAATGTCTAAACTTCTGAAGGTTCCAGTGAGCACTGTTGGGGCCATAATTCAGAAGTGGAAAGAACATTATTTCACCATAAACCGACCACGACCAGGTGCTCCTCACAAGATTTCTGACAGAGGAGTGAAAAGAATTATCAGAAGAGTTGTCCAAGAGCCAAGGACCACTTGTGGAGAGCTTCAGAAAGACCTGGAATTAGCAGGTACGATTGTTTCAAAGAAAACAATAAGTAATGGACTGAACCACCATRGCCTGTRTGCACGCTCACCACRCAAGACTCCACTGCTGAAGAAACAGCATGTTGAAGCTCCTTTAAAGTTTGCTGCACAACATTTAAACAAGCCTGTGTAATACTGGGAGAATATAGTCTGGTCAGATGAGACCAAAATTGAACTGTTTGGATGCCAGAATACACATCATGTTTGGAGGTCAAATGGCACTGCACATCAGCCCAAAAACACCATACCAACAGTGAAGTTTGGAGGTGGGAACATCATGGTGTGGGGCTGTTTTTCAGCATATGGTACTGGCAAACTTCAAATAATTGAAGGAAGGATGAGTGGAAAAATGTACAGAGACATTCTTGATAAAAATCTGCTTCCATCTACCAGGATGATGAAGATGAAACGTGGCTGGACATTTCAGCAAGACAATGAGCCCAAACACAAAGCCAAGGAAACTCTCAGTTGGTTTCAGAGAAAGAAACTAAAGCTGCTGGAATGGCCCAGCCAATCACCTGACCTGAATCCWACAGAAAATCTATGGAAAGAACTAAAGATCAGAGTTCATAGAAGAGGTCCACGAAACCTTCAAGATTTGAAGACTGTTTGTGTGGAAGAATGGGCCAAAATCACACCTGAGCAATGCATGCAACTAGTTTCTCCATACAGGAGGCGTCTTGAAGCTGTCATTGACAACAAAGGCTTTTGTTCAAAGTATTAGATAAATTTCAGTAAGTGTGTTCAATACTTTTTCCCGTGCCATTCCACATTATTACAAATAACTTCATTTCTGGACATTTATGGTTTGATTTCTTTGTATGTATGGATCACTTGGGTTGTTACCRACATCTGGTGAAAATTTCATGTCATTAGCACCTCTAGTAATATATTTACTGAGAAAAATGGTGACGTGTTCAATACTTATTTTACCTGCTGTATGATGTTCACATGTGCGTCACAACTCTGATGTTCATCTTGTTCAAAGCAGGTAGGACAAGTATTTGGTTCTCTCTGAGATATCAGCCCAGGGGGATCTCCATCCACTTTCTGGTTTTCATTTGTTTGCACGTTTGTCTAGCATGTAAAATGCACAGAAGCATTTTCCTAACAAACATAGCACCACTCAAAGGGAAATAACAGGTTTTATAACATTTATTGCCAAGAACTTTTGTCCCAACAGTAAAATAATCAATAAATTACTTTTTGTACTTTGTTTTACTAAGTTTAATAATCAACCTGAGAGAAGCAGTTGAGAGGGATATCTCCGCCCAGAAGAAACTGGGAATGCTGGTTTCATTGTGGAACAAGTGTGTAACAACATTTCTGACTGAAACAGGTTCAGCAAGCTGTGATGTCACAAACGTTATCAGCATGGGACGTGTTTCCTCCTACCAGCCGTGYTCACTCCTTTGTTCAAGCCGAGGTAAGCCTGGTGCTCTTTTAATTCTTACATGAGACTGTTTGATAATGGGGGAAGGATCCTGTGTGTGTTTGGAGCTGGCATTAGGAGTATATAGATACATATAGGAAACAAGTCAGTGCCTGTTTAGATCAGACATGAGGGCTTGGATGTACCTTGTTTACATATGAACGGAGACCCATGTGAGCCGGAGTTACCTTGGCTGGTTTTAACAGGTATGTTTAATGGCTGATAGAAACTGTTTTAGGTGATGTGTTTTTAAGACTGGTTATTTATGTTCACTGTTACAGTTGTCATTTTAGTTCCAGTGGCTAGCAGATGATGATCATGGTCTGTTTAAAAGGAAAAAAAATATACATTAGTTTGATAAAACTATTCTGAACCAGTAAYATGCCTAAATTAGTTGTGTTTAAAMGGAAAAGTTTAACTCTTCCTCTTATAAATATGGTCTAAATTAAAACCAGGATCATATTTCTGTGGGAYGTTTTCTGTTTTTATTAACAACACAGCCTACGTTAATGTATAAACCCCAGAAAGTAAATGTATTGCAGTGAAGAAACACACGTAACATCACACACACACTGCTGCCTGAGTGTGCTCCTGTCACTTTAAAGCTGCAGCAGTCTGATGAAGGCTTTAGAGTAAGTAGTACACACTGAAAACACWCCTTCTCATTGTTTGTAGCCTGAAGGCGGAGACAATACTTCTACAGCTAAATCAGAGCAGCAGATGCAGCTCAGCTAGAAGTACAAAAAACAAACAGCTAAAGCTCCCACAGTTTTCAGCTGCTTCCCTGATTCAACCTATTCACCAGACTGATTTAGACAAAAACACTGGCCTTGGTCGTTCCATGGGAAACAGTGGGACTACTGTTGAAAAACATGTTGTAGATGGAAATATTTATTTAGTTTTTAATGTAAATGCACTATATTAAGAGTTAAAACGAATATTTGTGTTTTATGTCATGTCTTGTAAAACATGCTGGCTTTCATTGTTCCTGATGTACTCACTCCTACGAGCGTGTCAGCTGTGATGCAGATATTTTTTTTACTGTAATCACTCAAATTAGCTCAAAAATGTCAAAAGGCACAACTGTTTAGACTGCAATTAAACCTATTCACTGTCAGTCAGTAATGACCCTCACAGACAGTTACTTTTTCTTCTGTTGGCTGATATTTTTGTAATTTTCTGCAGTTTTCTTGTTTATCAGGTCTTCGGTTTTGCTGAAAATCTTTCAATAATTTTCTTTTCTTTTTGCTGTTTGACTCAGTTTAAATCCAGTACCTGACCAGTTACAGGGAATTTCCTTTTGTTTGTTTAACCTAAACTTGACCCACAAATCATTCAGGCAGACAATGGTTCCTGAGCTCAAAGATGAACCTGTGCCGGGTCGGCACACAACAGACAACAAAGAACTCATTATAAAACTGGATCTTTAGGCACTTTGTCGGCAGGAGTTTTCACAAAGAAACAATTTGTTCCTATTTTTGAGCTGAATTAATGAAAAACAAATGACAATTTGACYCAATTTGATACAGAGGCAGTACTTTAGCATCAAGAAAGTTCTTAAAGGACTGAAAACCTGACACCCAGTAGATAATATCAGAATGAGGAAGTATCTCTCAGGTCCTCTTTCAGGTGTTTGCTGTATTTCTGTTCTTGTTTTATTTATACCTTTATATAACCAGGCACATCCCATTAAGATCACAGATCTCTTTTGCAAGGGAATGCAAAGACAACCTATAGTCTGTAGGAGAAAACCCAAGGAGAACAAGCAAACTCCACACAGAAAGACCCTGGGTCTGAACCGGAGACCAAACCAAAGCCCTTCTTTCTGTGAGGCATCAGTGTTAACCACTGATCCATCGTGCTGCYAAGGCTTTTTATGCTTTTTGTTTTTAAGGCCATTTCATCAGTAACATCTATCTCAGGTGATTTGACTGCAAATGGCCAGCTTTGCATTAGAGTGTACATATTCTATACTAAGATGTGTACCCCCAAACTGTCTGTGTCAGTTACCTGTTCTGTCTGCTGACACACACACTCATGCACAGTCACATGCTGTCAAGTACAGCTATCTTTATGGGGACATTGCAYTGACTTCTAATCATTTCTGTAGCCTATCCCTGACCCCTTACCCTAAAMCTAACCTCACAGGCAGTGGTGGGCAGCACTAATCTAAAAATTWGTTTCACTAGCCCTAAAACAYKAACTMAAATATTTAGGTCCCCTAATTCTAAAGCAYTAATGCACWGAAYGTTTTAGCAAAAGCTAATTCTAAAGCACTAAAATGACCCAGTCAACCCATGAACATTTTTCAACAGACAACATGAGTCACATATTGCCATGTTGCTCTCTTAATACTTATCATTGACATTCCACAGCTGGATTTGGGTTCATATGTTGTCAATAAATTGTCATCTAGTGGGTAAGTGACACACATATGAACAAAATGATTGACAGCTTTCACACTCAGCTGTTAACATTAATGTTCATCAATAACATTTATAAACCTCAGTTAGTGCWTCTAATGTTGCCTATAAATTTAGCGAGTGCTAATCCACTTATAAATTTTTAAATTAGCAAAAGCCCTAAAGCACTAATCAGGAAATTAGTTCCACTATTGGTGCTTTAGGGGAACTGTGCCCACCACTGCTCACAGGTACATACCTAACCCTAAAACTAACCTAAATTCAATTCACACCTCAGTCCTAAACCAAACCCCCAACCCACTAGCAGCATTTCCCTCCATAGGGACTAGACTTAGGTCCACACAAGAACCAGTTGGCCCCACATGTATGGGTGTTTGCCAAAAATGGTCCCCACATGGAAGGGAATAACCACCTGCACCGTTACGTCCCAGTGTGTATACTGAACAGCAAACAGGTCATCAGAAGGTCTGTTGATGTTTCTGTAAAAAAGACAACCATTGTGTGTGGGGTCAGGTCAGATCAGTAAAAGGTCCAAGAGCTTGACTGAGGACAGATCATGTTTAGAGATAATGAAATAAGGATTAAATAAAAAGAGCAGTCCAGACCACCCCTGCATGAAGTCTAGATGATTTGGTTCGAATAGCACTAAATACATGTATGAATGGCCTCATTGCACGTTGAAAACATATTAATCAGACTACCTCTGAAGGCAGRATCAAATCACTCAGGATGTACGTTGTGCCAGGTCTAAAAATATTCTCAATGTTTTAATCAAATCACACACACACAAAAAAACTTCACTAGAAAAAGGAACAACAAACATTCTCACTGTTTCTAAATGCATCAGTTCTGAGAAGAAAAGCTGCGTAACAGTTAAAATACGTCTCAAGAACCAGCTTTAGACTTTATTTATGTTTTGTCCTGCTCTCTTATCTAGACCTCAATCTGCCTCCTTGTCAACAGCTGTAACCTGTTCGACTGGATGATTTTCTAATGGAACCCCCTTCCTATGAGGAGGCCAATCGCCACCCATCTATACCGTCCAGAGTGGGATTGAACAACGAAAACMTTGCCTCGGCCCCCTCAACACCTCCTCCCACCTATAGAGAAGCAGGTAAGGAAGATAAGCTCAAAACGTTTCATATTTTTAACTATTTCTCATGAGGGTGAGGAAAGGGTTAAGTAAGATTCAGCCTAAACTTACATTAAAGTCTAAGTATCACCGTGGTGCAGAAAGGAAAACACAACAAAATGTTGGTTTCTTGACTTCTGAGTTGCTTAAAAATGCATACTAGTCATAAGTTTTGCGTCTTTTGTGATAAAAAAGGCTTTCTGATTCAYACATTGTTATTGTTTTTTATAGTCCCAGGATTTCTTAAAGGAGTACACATTACCCACTGTATTTTAAGCCAACGTTTTAAACTAAGACCATCTTATATAGAGAAGTGATGGAGATTTAACCTTGAAAAAAAGTTTTTTATGAGCATTGCAAAATTTCACACTCAGAATGTGTTGAGAATGACGTYCAGCTTCTACACCAAACTGTATCTCAATAATTGTAAAATTGATCAATTTAGCTATTTTTGAGCTGATTAGCTGTGGTGGTCAGTTGAATTGGCTTGTCTTCAAAATCAGTTTTAAATGTAAATTTAATTATGATTTTCTAAGAATTATAATAAATACTGTCATGTGGTTCTTCAGATATTGCTAATAAACATTCAAAACCAATAGTCAAGGTTGGCCAACCTTCATTGTAATTTATGTAATTTCATAAATGGTTGGGGGTGGGGGGCATATTGACTGGATCAAATTATTGTGGTGGTCAGAACCCCCATACCCCTGCAAATTATGCCAATAGTTAATGGCAATGTTTTAAAGAAATATTTATTTTTGTTAGGGATCCATCACCACATCCACAGCTACAATACCAAACTTTAGCTCAATATTTATAAAATGGCCTGAGTTTTAGACATTTTTTTAAGATTGATATGCTGTGGCAAACATCTTGAATTTGATTGGCTTCAAAAGTTAATCAGATGTATATCCAGTGTTTGCTTGCTCATGAGTTTTATTAAAACCCATCCAGTGGTTCATGCTAATGTGAACATTACGATGTGCGTACCCCTAACAATTTTTAAAACAGGATTTTCAAATTAAGACATATCTCAGGGGTGTTGTTTTCTCTCCATTAACAGTCCATCAAGATCCTTTTCCTGTCCTGACTCCCCCCTCTGTGCCAGCTGCTGAGGTCCCACCATCACAACCTGCTGAAGTCACAGTTCATCCACTTACACAAAGTATCCACTTCTTCCTTTTACTTCTCAACCCTTATTTATTGTGTCTCCCAGCTACTCCATTATTTGTTTTCTGCTTCAACATTTTTCTGAACAGTTGGTAGAAGAGGAGGTGCCAGCAGCAGCAGACAAACTCAGTCAGTAGTGGTTGTGTCCCAGCCGCAGCCTGTCCCCATCGTTCCGACGAGCCTGATAGACGCCCCTGGTTTGATCCGCTGTCCACACTGCCAGCACCTCGTCACCACCAAGGTCACATACAAGCCCGGGTGCGCTGCTTGGTGCTCGTGTACCTTGCTTGCGTTAATGGGGTAAAAACACACACACACACGCACACGTGGGAAAATTTAGTGCTCAGCTTCTCCTAAGCATGTTGCATCTGTGTGTTTCAGGTTAATCTGTGGTATCTGTCTCATCCCTTTAATGCTGCGGCGGATGCAAGATGCACACCACTACTGTCCAGACTGTGAAAAGAAAGTCTACGTTTATAAACGATGACACCGTCGGTTTGCAGGAAGTGGATGCTTTTCACAGGCTGCTCAAGATGTCCTTACCCATTTAGGTTGCAATTTTGGTGAATTAATTAATTGGATGCAAAGTGCACGTGGYTCGCTGTGATATGATTATGTCATGTCTGATGCACAGCATCTGATAGTGAACGTGAAGAGACTCAAATGGTCAGTTTTAAAAGAAACTAAAATGTTTTTTTCCTCCATAAGCTGTCACAGAAGTGACAGCATCTCTTTAGTATGAAGGAACAGTATGGGGTGCCGTTTGTAAAGTTGCACAATCAAAAATTACCACCAATAGTTTTGTTTTATTTAGCCGTTTATAAGAAAAAAAGAACAGATTTCTTTTTCAAAGTCAGTTTCTCACCATATGATTCATGCATTTATAAATGTCATAGTTTATAAACTAAATATTTAACTTGCAAATTAAATATTTAGTTAACAAGCTAAAAATTTAACTTGAGACTTTAAAATTTAGTTTTGATCTAAATGTTTAGCTTGCAACTTCAATATTTAGCTAGCTACCTAAATATTTAACTTAAATATTTAGGTAGCTACCTGCATGTTTAGGTTGCAGCTTAAATATTTAGCTAGCAAGTTAAATGTTTAACTTAAATATTTAAGTGGCTAGCTAAATATTTAACTATATATGTCTATATTTGTTATCAGACTTATTCTGGCAAACCTGATCTTATATGGTAAGTTCAGGACGCAGGTATCAGTTGACCAAATGTAGGACTAATAGATTTAAAAACTCATTTAACCCAGCAGCAGTTACATTTCTTAATCAACATTTGTGATAT